TTCCCAGATATGATATGGTGTAGGCCTCTAATATCTAATTTCCTTAAATATTTTACAACTCCATTCATAAGTGTAATGAAAACTATTCATTTTAAATTCTTCAGTTGTCTCACAACAAAACTTTTTAAGAAAAGCCCTTTGCAAATACTTTCTTAGATAAAATGTCTCAGATAAATTTATAAATATGGTAGGACTTAATTTGTCTTAAATGATCCAATATTGTTGTAAATTTAGTAAGAGTTAAGCCCTGATTAGAGTGTAATCTAAACAATTATACAATTTACATTTGGATCTGGAATAGCAAGCTGAATTTCTTAATATTACTAAAATAAGAATTGATTAACAGTGAACACCATACATTCAATTTACTTCAATATGTTACTAAATTCTAAATCCCATAAAGTCAGAACATGAGCCCATCCGGAGGGACACAGCCTTCTCCAGGAGGGGAACATTAATACCTTCTCTGCTGCTAAGTCTGCTCTTTACACTCAGACTCCACCCAGGCATGAGTCCTGAGGGTGTAAGTAAAGACACCCTGGTCACATTTCTCGTGATGCCGACTCTCCGGCTAAGTTTCAGTCACTCCCTGGTTGCTGAGATACAATCGATGCTTGACACTTACAGTTTAAAGAAGGAGATCTTTGTTTTGACTCACAGTTTCAGATGTTTCAATCCATGATGAGCAGACTCCAAGGCAGAAACGGCAGGGTGGAAGGGACTTGCGAGGATGAAAACTGCTCAGTTCCTGGCAGCCGGAAAGAGCAGGGAGCAGGGAGGAAGGGCAAGCCCAGGAAAGAGACAGTACACTCTTCCTGACCAAGGGCCAATGAAATGAAAAATCAAGACACAAGTTAAAATCTGAGGGACCAGGGGCTCATGTCTCCCTTCAACATGGAGCCCCAAATGCCTGCCACACGTTGGCTTTATTCGCTCAGACATGATGGGCACAAGCAATGAGAGTATCATAGGACTCATCTGTCTCCCACCCTCCATGGAACTTCCTGGGTAAACAACTTCACCTCAGGTGTTTTTATTTTTCCCTGCAGTGTGTTAGCACGCTTACACGCACTCTTTCTCCTCAGGGCTCGAGGAGGAGGCCAATTAGGTTCATTCTTCCCATCTGACCTCCACAGTGTACTGTGCCATTGAGTGTAAGATGAGTACATTCAGACTTTGATATCTGTGGGAATCCTAGAGCCAGTTCCCAGATACCTAGCGATGACTGTACTTCCAAGATTTAGCTAAACTAGCAAAAACGAAACAAAAACACACGTCACTGATATCTACCCTCAACAGAACATAGAAAAAGAAGGATCATAGTTTTGGGTCCAGTTAAAAACAAAATTTTAATCACAAAAACTACTGCCCTCATTGGTGAAAAAATAAAATACATGTAAACAAAAAGACCATTTTTAAATGACTGATTCTCTTACCCAGTCAAAAATAAACACTATTAATAAACTGATAGACTCCCATGTATTTTTTCTGCAGATCCATACTTACACATAACTGTTACAAAAATGAGATCTCACCGTATGTCATGTTCATCCTCCTTTTGCTTAATGTATTCTAAACAAGTTGTACGTCAAATACACCTTTTTGAACTTAGAGAAAACTTGATTCATGTATAATTATTATCAAGAGATGTTTCCCCCAAAGCTTAAGTCTCTGGTCAAAAGCATTTACGAGCAATTCAGAATGTTTGTATCAGGAGACACTGCACAACAGTAATACTTAAACATGGTTTCCTCCCTTGAGGGAGACCCAGGATACTAAAAATAAAGCACTGCCCTTTGCCCTCCCTTTCTGGAGACTTGCCCCCATTCCAGAATAAAGCTAAGGATAAGAGGATCCCAAATTCCATACACAGTAAGAGTTTCCCAATTCCTCTCCTGTAACTCACCATGAAGTATGCAGGCGTCCCTGTGTGGATGGGGTTAGGAACCAACACCAAATTCTCTGGCCACTGTGCTTCTGCTACAAAAAATGCTGTTCTTGTTTCTGACTCAGAGAATGCCCTTCCTCTCCTCTCTCTCTCTGTTATGGTTTCTGTCTAGATGTCCTCCCAAAGCTTCCTATGGTCATAGGTGGGGCTTTTTCAGAGGTGGCTGCATTTAGAGTGTGTGACACTGGGATTGATTCATGGTGCAATGCTAGGATCAAGGTGCTAGGATTAAAGGTGTGAGTGCTACCCACCCTAAGTAGCCTGGATAAACTATAAAGGATAGAAAGAGCTGTGGTTGCCCCTTGCTTGTTTTGCTACCTTCTGCCTGCTATGAACTGTTTCTCCTCTGCCATGCCACACTACTTGGAGCTACCCAACTATGAACCAAAACCTGTACAAACTGTGAGCTAAATAAACCTTTCTCCTCCCTTAACTTGTGGGTGTTGGTACTTTGTCTCAGCAATGAGTAAAGTAACTGAGACACTCTATATCTGATATAAGCTTTTATTTTCATGTTAGTCAGTCTTAGTGTGTCCCAGTCCATTTTCTGTTGCTGTAAGAGAATATCTAAGACAAGGAAACTTATAAAGGAGAGCTGTTTATGTGGCTCAAAGTCCAGGAGGCAGGAAGCAGGGAGTACAATGCTGGCATCTGCTGGGTGTCCAGTAAAGGGCTTCATGCTACGTCTCAGAATTATGAAAACATGGCAGGGGAAATAGGTGCTTGTGGAAGAGAGACAGCAGTACCGGGATTACTTTAGAGCAAGTCGTTTTCATGAGGAAGACATAATCTCTCTATGTGACCTAATCACCTCATAAAAGCCCACCTCTCAATACTGCCACAATGGCAATCAAATGTCAACATGAATGTCAGAGGGAACAGCCATACTCAAACAAAACAAAGGACTAGTTAACTGTTATTGCTTCTCTTCCCTCCACAATGTTACATGATGGAGAAACCAGGTCACCAGCCAGATGGGAATCCAGGTGTCAGACATACTCATGTTTGGTCAGTCTTCAGAAACTACCATGGTGGGTGTCACACATTGGTCAGGTGGAACATGATAGGGTCTCTTCCTAGCTTACTGAATGAAAACATCTGCAGAGACGATGGCGCAGGGATGATGAGAATTCCACTCCCTCTCCATAGTCAATCACAGGCAGAGGAACTAGACAAGAGATGGTGAACTGCAAGGCAGAAGAAAAGCACAGCCTGGCTGCCTTTCACTTTGGTGATTCTGTCACCATCCCTGTCTCCAAGTAAAGACACAGTCCAACAAGTTTCACAGATCCTAACTGATCATATTACTTTTTCCTCTTGCCCATGGATAGTCAGAGGCCAAATACACTATTTTTTCTGATATTCCCTATGGCAGGCATTTTTAAAAATACTTGTTCTTGCAGTAGCTACTTGGCTCCCAAATAGTTTCCTATTTGGAGAGACTTCCAATAAAGAATGTGGTAGGGTCAGGGATTTAGCTCAATGGTTCCACTGTCTGCCTCAAAAGCACAAGGTCCTGAGTTCGATCCCCAGTACCAAAACAAACAAAAAGAGCGTGACAAATAGCCCCTTTCCTGGCTCCCTCCTGCCCTGCACTTGGGTGTGAGTCCTTTCCATCCAATCCTCCTACCTAAAACCTTGACCCTGGCATCCCCTTGAAAAGCACATGGCAATTTAGAATGTATCTGGAGGTGGCAGAGGAAGTAGTAAGGACAGCATCCAGTGTCCAGTGGTGGCTGTGCCAGTGACAGAAGCTGTTGGATATAACCACATTCTTCCCTTGTATTGATTTGGTCCATTTCTGGGTGCCTAATTTCCCATGGCTCCTGTCCATGTTTCAAACTTCATTCTTCAGCTCTTCCACCAATTTTGTGAGCTACCAAGTGTCCTTTCCATAAAGTCTTTTTCTCTGTAACTAGAGTTAGTCTCCATTGTTTTGGAACATGGAAATTGAATTAGTACATCACATCCTTCATGCAGAAATTGCTGTGATGACGAAAAGGATGAGAAAGAGGGTTACCCACCACTTCTAGTCCAGGAGTATCCACCATCCTGACTTTTGCGATAAACATTTCACAGCTTTCTCTGTAGGCTAACCACCAATATACAGTATGCAGTCAAGAGAGTAAGCATCATATGATACAAATATGGCCCTGTCCATCAACAGGACCACCCACTTTGGGAGGCTGCAAGTTCAACTTCTGCCTCAGCAACTTAGATCCTGTCTCGAATTTTTAAAAGAGAGAAAAAGAGATGGAGATGAGGCTCAGAGCAAAGGCCTTGGGTTAAATAAATAAGTAAATATCTGCCAATGACCCTAGTCCCTAACATTTTTATTATCATCAGATTAACTATACAATAGCTTCCTAGATGATAATCCTGAAGCAGACCATGTTATTCTCCTACTTTCAGGATTTTAAAAAAATTTTTATTTTTAGTCAGTCTTGCTATGTAGCCCAGGCTGGCCTCAGACTTGCAGTTCTACTGCCTCAGCCTCCCGGGTGCTAGGATTACAGGTGTGTACCACCATGCCTGACTTTTACTTTTTTTTTTTCCAAGCCAAACTGTATCCAGCTTTATTAAAGATACTTTTCATAAACAATCATGGTATTTCAGGCAGGACATGGGCACACAATCGTTAACAGTATACAACAACTTTCAAACTCCCTTCTTGGATGGACTACCAAAAATCAGAAAGCCACTATAAAATCCAATGAAGTCTTCATTTGATGCTCTGAGTAGGGAGAGTTTAGAGTGAGGGCTGACACTTCACATTTAGCCTGTTGTTTAACAACTTTTCACAAGTTGTGCCAAGGTGGCCACGGGGGTCAACATCAGGGAATCCCTCTTCCTGGGAGCCAAGGGAAAGTCTCTCAAAACTAGTAGGGAAAGGTGCTTTCCCCACATCAGTCCAGCTTTGGAGACGTTGTACTAGTTACATACGCTCCTTCCCCAAAACAACAATGAAGTGTTCTGTGTGCTGACAACACAGCTTAAAAAAAAAAGTAAAACAAAATTCTGCATTTTTATAAAACTTGACAAAAAATAGTATTTCAAACTGTACAGTCACCAGAAGTACACAGTGATCAAAAATGCACACACTTCACTTGGCATCTCCAGCACCTTCAGCTTTTTGTGCCTGGTCTGTTTGGCATCTCCGTTTTCTGCAGGGTTATTCCCATCCTTGCCAGCATCAGCTTTTCCCTTTTTCCCCTTGGGTACCTTCTCTCCCTTCTTTGCAGGGGCCTTTTTAGGCTTGGGCTCTGGCTTTGGAGGAGCTGGTTTAGCAGACAACCTTGCAGATCTTCTCTGTGGTTCAACCTCCACCTTGGCTTTATCACCTTTAGCATCCCCTTCAGCCTTTCTCCTGGGCATGGTGGTGACGCGGGCGGGACGCAGGCGCTGGACACGAGCTTTGGTCGGTGGGGGGGGTCGTTCTCAACTCTTCTTCACACTGCTCCTACTTTCTTTTTGAGACAGGGTTGCACTCTGTAGTACAAGATGGCTTTGAACTCACTATACAGCCCAGATTGACCTTGAACTCATGGTGATCCTCCTGGTTCAGCCTCCTGAGTGCTGGATTACAGGTGTGTGCCACCATGCCTGGCCTGGATTTTATTTTTAATTTATTATATAACACTTTTGTATATTTCACATATAACATATACATATAAATAAAGTATATGTAAGTTATTAACATAAAAATAAAACTGTGACCCCCACGCCTACCTTAAGAACATCACCAAGAGCCAGGTGTGGTGGCGCTCACCTGTAATCCCAGCACTTGGGAGGCTGAGGCAGGAGGATTGCTGTGAGTTTGAGACCAGCCTGGGCTACATAGTGAGTTCAGGTTAGTCTCAACTACATAGTGAGACCGTGTGTCAAAAAACCAAAAAAAAAAGAACATCACCAAGAATGGTGAACGTGCTTTTCCTGTATGTCCCACTTCTGCCTCTCTACAAATATCATTCCTTTTTAAAAACAATTTTTATTATACTATAATATGAAAAAAGGCCCCAAACATAAAAATACATCTCAATGAATCATCACAAAGGGAGTGCCTACATAACTACTACCCTCTACATAACCACTGCCCTTGTCAGGAAAGAAAACATGTCCATTAGTTCCAGGAATCTTCCCCTACCCTCTCCTGATCCCTGCTGTTTGCCCTTCTTGGTCATAAATCCTCTCCCCACTACAGGAGGCCGCTCTCCTGGCTTTTGTGATAATTGTTTCTTTGTGTCCAGCATTATGTCCATGAATCCTATGTATATTGTTTTGTGCCTTACTTTCATTGCTCAATATTACACTTATGAGATTCATCCATGTTGTTGATGGGAGTTGCAGTTTGTTTATTTGCACTGCTGTAAAGTGTCTCCGGATAGGAATATTCAGTGATTTATTTGCTTCTTCTACGGTAGATAAATGTAGTGTATTCATTGTGGGGCAATAATGAACAACGCTACTTTGAACACCTAGTCTATATATTGTATGCAATCTGTAAGGGCATCTACCTGGCAATAGAATGATAGTCACGGGATATGTGTATCTGCAACTTCACTGGGAAACTAATTCCAAGCTCTTTTCCACAATGAATGCCCCAATGCACCACCAGCAGTCTACAGAGTTTCTGCTGCACTACACACTAACTGACAATAGGTGCTGTTTCATTTAGGCAGATTTGGAGGGTAGCTAATGGTATCTTACTGTGGTTATTATAATTTGCATTTCCCTGATTAATAATGAGACTGAATATATTTGCATATGCTTATTGGTCATTTATATTTTTTTTCTTTAGTAGAATTTCTATTCAAGTCTTTTACCACTTTTTCAATGTGATTATCTGTTGATTTGAGATTTTATATATTCTGGCGGTGCCACTGAGGGAGAACAGAAGGGGATGAAAAAAAGACAAAACAAAGAGATTCAAAAGCTGCGGCCAGGTGGAGCCTTACTCCTGATGGGAGAAAATGACTGCCTGGGAACTGCAGTGCATTTATTTATAGTGGTAGCACTAAGGGAAGGGCAGAGGGAGGCAAAAGGGGCTGGTCCGTAGCCGGAACTGGGAGAGTAGTTAAGGTCTGCAGGACATCATGCTTTAATGGTTCTATGGGGAATGGACAGGGAGGAAGGCACATCTACAGCACAGTGCTTCCAGCATGGAAGCTAATATTTTATATATTAAATGTGTGGTAAATTCCTTCTCCTAGTCTGTGCTGTGATTCTTTTTTTTTTTGGCTTGCTTGCTTGCTTGCTTTATGCTACCTTTTAATGAATAAAAATTTTCTCCAAGACCTGTGGTGAAAAGGTACAAGATCCCAATAATGAATGTAACTTACTGTATACCTAAAATGTACCAATAAACTCAATGAGGAAAAAAAATGAATAAAAATTTTCTAATTTTACTATGGTCACATATATCAGTCTTTTCATTTATGGTTGTTAACTTTGCTATCTAGCTTTTAAAGTCTTTTTCTACCTTTGAAGTCATAAAGATATGCTCCTACTTTCCAAAAGATTGAAATGTTGCTGTCATGCTGAAGTGTGACAGTGAGTTCTGTGTACAGTGTGTGCTGTGATGTGAACACGTCCACCAATGTTCACATGTTGGAAAACCAATTCCAAGCACAACACCACTGAGAGGTGAAGCTTTATGAGGTGGGAAAGCATTTGGGTCTGCCTGCATCAATGGATTGATGCCATTATCTTGGGAGTAGGTTATGTACGCTGAGAGAGGGTTCCTAAAGATTTGGAGCCCTTTCTCTCATTCTCTGTCATTTTCTCTCCTGCCCTCCCACCTTCTGCCAAGGAATGACACAACAAGAATTCCTTCCCTCAATGCTGGCCCCACAGACTTGGACTTCTCAGCCTCCAGAAAAGCAAGAAAGAAATATTCATTCTTCATAAATTACTCAGTCTTGGGTATTCTGTTGTAGCAGCACAAAACAGACTAGAATAGTGTGAGGTAGGAAAAATTTTTCCATACATGGATAGCTAACTGTCCCAGAAGCATTTATTAAAAGCTCATATTTTTCCTACTGCCTCCCCCCACCCCACTTCCCCTTTGAGACAGGTTTTCACCACTTTGCCCCGGCTGGCCTCTAACACACTATCCTCCTGCCTTGTCTGGTCTTCAATCCTCCTGCCTCAGCCTCCAAAATACTGGGATTGTATATGTACACCATCACATACTAGCTTGCATGTCTCTTATATGTGAAGTATCTGTGATGCTTAAGATTAGTTGTCAACTTGACTGGCGTGTGAGCTGCCTAGGGGATTAGTACGGCACAATTCTGGGAGTGTCTGGATGGGCTGTGGAGGATGTGTCCTCGGGTACTTCTATGGTTTCTGGCCCCTTCCTCTCTGAAAGTATGCCCCCTGCTCTGGTTCCCAACTACCACTAACCAAGCATCTTTGTTCCACCATGCCCTTCTGCCATGATGTTTCTGCCTTGGAGCCAGCCAACTATGAACTGAAGCCTCTGAAACTGTGTGCCAAATAGACCTCTCCTCCTTTAAATTGTGGGGGTCCGGTATTTCCCTCACTATGGTATTGTCTCACTATGTAGTTGAAACTGACCTGGAATTCACTATGTAGCCCAGGCTGGTCTTGAACTCACAGCAATCCTCCTGCCTCAGCCTCCCAAGTGCTGGGATTACAGGCATGCACCACCACACCCAGCCTCATTCTTTCTTTTTATGAGTATGTGTCTACAGTACATGATGATTACATTCATCTTGGAAAGTTGGTATATAAAGATAACACATTTTAATTCTTTTTCATTGCCTTCTCCCCCAACTCTTGCTCCCCTTCCCTTTTACAAAAGATCTCCCTGTATCTTATTATCTATCTTGTATTTTGCTCTTAAATTTATCTATATTTTGACTTTCTCATATAACAGAAACCATGCAATATGTACACTTGTTTGTCTAATTTACTTAACATTATGGTCTTAAGGTGCATCAATTTTCCTACAAATGACTTCAGTTTATCCTTCTTTATGGCAGAATAGTATTCCATTGTGTATAAATACTACATTTTCTTTACCCATTCATCTGTCAATGGACACACAGCTCACTTCCAGGATTGAGTTATTATGAATTGTGCTGCCACAAACATGGGTATGCATGTATTACTGTAATAGAATGTCTATAACTGTTTTGGGAAGACACCTAGAAGGGGAATAGCTGCATTAAATGGAATTTCTATTTTTAGTTTTTTTTGAGAAAAGGCCATAATGATTTCCATAGTGGTTGTACTAGTTTACATTTTCACCCACAAGGTACAAAGGTTCCTATATCCCTGAGGCCTCTCTAGCATTTGTTATTATTTTATTTCTGGATGATAGTCATTCTTTCTGGAATAAGATAGAATCTCAGTGTTCTTTGTTTTTTGTTTTTTGCTACAAAAGTCCAGCCCTTTAATAACAAAAGCTTCCCCACACTCACCCCATCACAGCACCCTCACAATCACAGGTCCAGTCATGGGGGGGCTGCTGGAAAGCCAGGGTGAACGGAGGCAGCAAGTGAGGGGTTTGTTTGTCAGGTGCCTGCTCCCCATGTCACTGACTCCTGAAAACGCAGAAGGCCTCTTCTCTACCCAGGCACCAGCGGGGAGCTCCATCCACGGGAGCCGGACGGCCCACACACCCAACCACAGAGCATAAGGGTGCCGGGCCGGACAGGCCTTGTCTTCCTTGCCTTCTTCTCAGACCTCAGAGCCTCATCATGAGCTTTCCGCTTCTGTGCCAGTTTGTTGGCCTCTCGGATTTTGCACCTCTTGCCAAACATGATCTTCTGGTAAAGGTACTTCTCCCACTTCTTCATCATCATCATGATGGCCAGGCGCTTGGCCTCATTCTCCTCCTCCTGGGCCAGCCGCTGCTTGTCCTCTAGCTTCGTGGTACCTGCCATCACCCTGGGTTTCTTCTCCTCCATCCTCTGCTCCTCCAGGGCTGCCAGGTGGGCCTCTTCCTCCTCCTCTGAAGCAGCCACTACATCTTCCTCCTCCTTATTTTCTCCCCCTTCATCACTGTCTTTTTTGTCCTCCTCCTCCTCCCCG